GACGAGGACGCCCTCACCGCCCAGTGGATGGTGCTCACCCAAGCAGCCCGACATGCATACCAATCCACGATGACAACCTCGCCACCTTCGAGCGCACCTACAACTCCAAGATGTACACCGCAACAGCCTTGGGAGAGATCGTGTCACAACGCATTTGGACGAGCTTCAATACGATCAACTCCACTAGGAAGAAGGACACCAACGAAAAGAAGTTGGTACTCGATGAACGCAATAACATCACCGAGAAGGCCAACGAAGAGTGGGACGTGAGGGGACAGTGGATGCTCATCGATGCCATCGAAGCAATCCGATGGGCCTGGATACTCATTAAGTATTCCTCCGAGACGATTATCAATAAGTACGTCGACTGGTTCATCCGACTGGTCCGCAAACATTCACAACGCATTAACAACGTCAAGAGCCTTTGGGAGGAGTTCTCCTGGGATATCGCCATGCGGATGCGATCCAACGAGACCTTCCAGATGATCACCGAAGACCTCATGAACGATCTGACACGAGTGAACGATGTGATGCAACAACCATTATCCAAGCGACCACGAGTCGGCAAAGGCTCCGAACAACCCTTCAAAGGCAAGGGCAAAGGATACCAACAGAAATGGTCCCCGCCTGGACAAGGACGCCGATACCGACAATCCTGGAACACTACGACTACCCAGTGGCGATCCTGGCAACCGACGACACAACCATGGAGCCCACCTTCTATTCCTACCTGGCCGACCACATCGATGCCTTCCTGGAACCCATCAACACCATCCACCTTTAATACACCGACACCCGCCCCGACCATTCCCTTCAACCCTGCTCCACAAGTATCACAACGACCCCCCTGGAACACGAAGGGAGAGAAAGGCGCGAAAGGCGCCGGCAAGAAAGGCAAAGCCGGCAAGTCTGGGAAGAAATAGGGACAGCACGGCCCAGAGTCAAGGGGCTCTGGAGCCGACCATCGAATGACAGACCCACACGACAGGATTTGCACACTTTGCCACGAGCTGGTGGGCGCCTTGCCAGTAGTCCACCTGTCCTTCTTCGATGGTATCGGGATCGCCTCCGAAGCACTCCGACGCATCAACGAGAACGTCATCCTAACCCTGGCGTGGGAGATCGACGCCGATTGTGCTAGCTTCACATCGAAAGTATTCCAAGCCGTACACCTGGGCGATGTCGGACAGTTCGACATCGAGATTGTCGCGAGACACATCGAGAATGCAACGAACAACCGAAAGTACATCATGGTGATTACGGCAGGTCCTCCGTGCCCGGATTTCTCCGGCCTACGAAGCCAACCCAAAGGATCCGATGGCACCTCAGGATGGCTGTTCAGACACATGGTCAGCATCGAACATCAAATTCGACAACGATTCACGGGCGTCCCGATCGAAACGATCTTCGAAAATGTGGTACCTCACCCCGATGTACGAGACAACGTCGTGGAACTCACATCTCCGATGAGCATGGACCCGATCATCATCGACGCCGCAGATTCCGGAGTTATGCACCGCAAGAGACTGTGGTGGACATCGATCCCATGGGACACCGTCGAAGAGAGACTACCTCGGCTCACACCCTGGTCCCTTGAATGGCAAACAGATGGAGAATGGCATCGACTACACAACCCGATTGGCATCGACTTACAACCCCAGATTTCCGCAAAAGGTTTCTCCTTACCACCGTGTCTACACAACGACAAGAAACTGTTTCACTGCCTGACCACACCATCCACGTCGACGTTCGGACGAGAACCTCCGAGACAACTCCGAGATCGCACGACTTCACAAGATGCATGGAATCGATGGGAACAAGACCAGCGACGTTACCCGGTTTGGCAGTATGAAGAACAATTCATCGTCACTCTGCCGGACGGATCTTGGACGACGGCTCCTTCATCTTTGCGCGAACAACTACAAGGCTTACCACTGGACTATACGACGACACTCGGAAATGGCGATGAGACGAAACGTTGCACTGCTCTGGGCAACGCGTGGCACCTACCTACAGCGATTTGGATCATCTTCCTGCTTCTACTAGGGACTGTTGATGCATCCATCCCGGAGACACCTCGAGTGTCCCCATTACAACAGATCACTTCCTTTTGGTTGCAGTCTAAGGTACCCTTTGGCCCACCACCCCGAACACCGAATCACGACTACATGCCACAGTTCTCCTGGACGGATCACCTCGAATGGGCACTACACAGAGACACACACCTATCACCCAAGAGACTCGACCCCACACTTGAGTGGTGTCTGCAATACCGACATATTTTCCACCCACTCCTGGACTTCCAGAAGGCCGTCATCGCAGACATTCGTGAACTCGTCGAAGACATGGAAGAACACACGATGGCCTGGTTCAACACTCTTCCAGAACATGTACAACGAGCATATCGTCACAAGCACTCGGTAACACAAATACCTGTCCTCGTCCACCTTCTTCGAATGATACAATACCCACAGACCGAGCTGATCTACCGCGAGCTCTCCGAAGGCTTCCCCCTTACGGGGAAGTTGACTCCAGGCATCAACTGGCACGTGCGGCAAGACAAGAAATACCTCGAGCCCACTCCCATTGAAGAGTTTCGCGACAACAACCGACAGTACATCAAAGAGAAGATCGACAAAAACTCCGTTGACGATCACTGGGAACTCATGCTCGACGAAATCTTAGCGGAGGTCGACCTCGGACGAATGAATGGACCGTTCGAGGCACCAGATTGGTGGCCCCGGACGGCGATAGCCCCGACCAAGGGACGACACCGAAAATTACTACCATTGCCTCACTCCGACCCGTACATTGCCATGGCTTTCAGCATTGAACAGACGGGCAGCGACGGCAACAACAAAGTTCGACGAGGAGAAGATTGGCGACGAAGTGGACACAACGCGACGTGCACGATGCACGACCAACCATACCATCACACACCCGATCACTTCGTATCCCTGGGACTCGCGACAATCCGACAGGATCGGCTTAAACCCCTCTCAGTCTGGGGACACGACCACGATGGAGCTTATCGACAACTTCCACTACGAGATCCTCGCGAAGCATACGTGATGCTCCTGACACCAGACGGCCCGACACTGTGGAGCCACAACGTCCTGCTCTTTGGTTCGGCAGCCAGTGTCTGGTCGTATAACCGTTTTGGGGACATTCTCGTCGCGTGCAGTCGCACGATGATCCTGTCACCAGCGATGCACTACGTCGACGACTATGGATCCATGGAAGACTCCGATCTTGCAGACGGCAGCTTCGAATCCTTCGAGGAGTACAATGGTTGTCTCCAAATCTCGATGAAACCCAGCAAGAGACAACCGCCTCAAACCGCACATCGGATCCAAGGTGTCATCATCTCCTCCGACCACGACAACTTGGTGTTGACTCCGTGTCCCAAACGCGTCGAGAACATGTGTAAGCAGATCGACGTGCACCTGGAGACCTCGTCATTGTCACCCGAACAAGCCAGGAAAATGGCGGGGAAGTGCAACTTCCTCACAGGCCGACTCTTCGGTAAGGTGGGCCGCGCAGCCCTGAAAGCATTATATGCCCGCGCCCATTCGTACTCACACGCTCTCGACAAACCTACCCGATCGTCACTACTTTCACTCAAGGACATCATACAACATTGTCGCCCAATGACGATACCACGACAGATGACTCGAACTACATACAGCGTCATCTACACGGATGCCTACTTCCGCCTGGGCGACCACACCTACAGACCGGGGGACGACGACATCCCGAATTGGGACTCGAAGTCGACATCCGACATCGAGAACGGATGGGCTGCAGTTTGCTTCCACCACGGTGATGTGCAAATGGCAGCTTACTTCCAGGGTCGTCTCCCCTCACTACTAGTACGACAGTTTTCTTCCGACCAGGCTTTCATTTACCTCCTCGAAGCTTGGGTCGCCATTTTGGCTCCACTGGTCTTCGAGCCATGGCTCGACAAGTTCTACGTCCAGTGCTGCGACAACGAGGCTTCTCGACACGCCCTACTCAAAGGCGTCGGTAAACACCAGCCCCTGAATTGCCTCATCGCGGCACACTGGACTTGGCACAATCGACGAAGTCTTGCACACCGACTCGAACGTGTTCCCACCAAAGCCAACATCTCCGACGGGATCAGCCGCTTCGAGCACGTGCCAGAGTCTGTAACATGGACTAAACTCGACTTACCTTTGCACGCTTTGACCAGTAGGGCTGCGAAGATTATAGGAGACATTCATTTTGCTTCCTCTACGGGCTTTTCCGACCTACCCGAAATTCGCAGATTGCACGATCAGTTGACTGCGATGCTCGTTTGATTTATCTTTCGAGTGGCGTTCGTCTGCGATGGGAGGACGCGACCACCACCGATGGGAACCAGTCGGTCCTCCCAACAGAAAGAACTTTGTCACATCGATCTGTAAGATCGATGACTGCGATCTGTAAGATCGACCGCGATCTGTAAGATCAAAACGCAGACATAACGCCACCGAAGCGGAAGCAGTTGGAAAACAGCTCCGCACTTGCCAGGGATTCATGGCCTTTGTGTGAGATCTTCGTTGTCGTGTAGCACACACTTGTTTGTGCGAAGTGACAACATATTATCTCACTTGATCACCGAATCGGTCAGGGGATAGACTCACCGATTCAATTCGAATGATTGTACACTCCGTGGCCATTTTGGCGAAAAGCTGTTCCAGCTTGAGAAATTTTGTTTCACCCACCCGTCCCGACCCTCTTTTGACTACGATATATTTCCTCTGCTTCCTGTCTGCGAGTACCGCCTGGGAACCAGTCGGTCCTCCCAACAGAAAGAACTTTGTCACATCGATCTGTAAGATCGATGACTGCGATCTGTAAGATCGACCGCGATCTGTAAGATCAAAACGCAGACATAACGCCACCGAAGCGGAAGCAGTTGGAAAACAGCTCCGCACTTGCCAGGGATTCATGGCCTTTGTGTGAGATCTTCGTTGTCCTTCTGGATTGCGGGTTGGATGAAGGCCTGGAACTGGCTGGACTTCATCGTGATTTTGACAGCTCTCAGCTCAGACCTGCTCAATCAGTTCTTGCGATCTCATGGTGGCCTTTCAATTGGGCTCATGTCTGCACTGATGCAAAAAGTGACTTGCGAAGGCTTGGGCGACTTATCTGCCAGGCGGGCTTCGTTTCGGTTTGACCGGGACACGCACCTGTTTTTGGCCGTTGAGCATGCTACAATCTGCCAAAAGTACTCGCTCAACGCCGCTCAACAGAAGGGCTGTCTTCAGTCTACATTGACACGGACCGATTCGCACATTGACACGGATTCCAGGAGGTGGAGCAGACAGGTGCAGTCCTCGGATGTCATCAGTTCAGGGGTCATGAAAGACCGAGTCTACGATCTCCTTGAGGGAGCCATGTTCGTTAAGAACGTACCTTTGTTCAGCACCTTGACCTGGGGCGAGGGTGGACGGGGCTTTGCCACTTGCTTCCCGAGTCTGGGCTTCTTCCGCGTCTTCCGCGCCCTGCGGCCGCTACGGTCACTAAACGCGGTTCCGCAGATGAAGGCTGGGGGAGAGGTGGGAGAGAGAGTGACAGAGGCGTGCTGGCCTCTGCAAGAAGCTGTCGGCACGTTGCTTCGCGATTCGACCAAAAAGCAGGATGCTCGTTTCTGCTGACAGCACGAGGTCCTCGTGAACACGGTCATCAGTTCTGTTCCCCGCCTCGGCAATGTGTCCGCTGGGGACTTGGGAGCTCTTGCACATCCTGAGGGTTGAGCTGAGACAGTGCTACTGTGACAGTAGCGGAACTCTTCGAGTTTGCGGCACATGTGAGGCTGTGGGAGCCTTCCTTTTCCTCGTCTTTGGCATCGTAGGTGCGTTGGAAGTCTGGAAGCCAGATTGGGGAGATGCAGCGACCAACAGTCATTCAAGCAAGACCTGCATCACAAGCCTGAGAATCTTAAGCAGCACAGCCGCGGGATGCTGCGGGTGTTTCGGAACGGTCGCAGTGAATAGGTAAATACGAAGATAAGAGGTGACTGCCAGGTTGAAGATGCAGCTTTGTGGTGGCTTTGGTCACGGTCAAGCCTGTCACACCATAAACTATAAACCGTCTTGGGCGCAGGTGTCACTCTCATGAGCGGTGTTTTTAATCGGCTATGCCACACAGCTCAGAATCCCGCTCCCCGGCAGCAGCTGAGCCGTTGGCCCGTTGGTTGCAACGAAGACATAACAATCACGACGGTCTGGGTGGCTCGAGCGTCAGGTTCTAGTCTTTCAAAATGGCACCGGGACCCAGTGTTGGTCCCGACCTTGGAGCGTGACTTTGTGATTCAGCAAGGGATTCTTTCCAGAGTCCTCGCATGCGGATGTGCTCACAGGTCCTGGCCGTATGCAGAGGACGACCGCCTGTGTGGCGGTGCCTACAACTGCAGGGTGCCCGATGATGTTCTGTAAGGCCACGAGTCGAGACTGTGCCTGATTCCGTGCTTTGAAACTCTGAGGCGAAGCTTCTGGCGGCTTCTGTGGTGGCCTCGAAGAGGAGCGTGACAAGGGACTGCAAACATTGACATGAGCCGCCCCGCCCCCCGCAAACGCCAGGACCAACGAGAGGAGCTGAGGCCCAACTTCGGCGCGAATGGCAGGCCGGTCTCTGAGCTTGGCCGTTTGGCCGGAGTGTGGAGCGTTGCCTGAGCCCATGAACGCGCGCCCATCTTCGCAGGATGAACCTGCCCTGGTGCGTGGGAAGTGAGCCCAAAAAGTTGATGCCTCAGACATCATCTTTGTGAGCAGCCCTGCGCTGCAGAATCCTTTGATAAAATTTTCCTGGAGATGCTTCTCCGCAGTGTAGATATAATATTATCATATGCCATTTGGCTCAAGTGAGTCGCGACAGCCAGCCCTTGCTGGAACCCAGTTCCCCCATACGCAGTTGCAAAACGACCCTGGCACGAACATTCGGGCAATCCCACAACGCAACCATGCTAAGCTGCTAAGCCGTGTAACCGTCCTACGATGCAATGGCCTCCCCCGGCTTGCATCGTCCTGGAGTGCTGGCTCGTGTTTCCGGCCTGGAGGCCACGCCTGCACTCAATGGCGAGGTGGGGAAGTTGCTGCGGCTCACAGAGGAAGGCCGCTGGGTTGTCCAAACAGGAGCAGGTCTTTCCGCCATCCGAAGCGAGAATCTGTCGCCAGCCGCAGACGTGGTACCGGAGTCACTGCGCCGCCTTGTCGCCTGTGCCGCGGCCGTGACTGCTAACCTTTTCCTGGAGCTGGCGCGATCGGGAGGCTCCCGGCGTGTGACCGCCGCGGCTGTGCCGGTACTTTTAGCTGTCTGGGCCTTTGCCACACTTTATGGGGCACGCTGGCTGCACCGCCCCCTTGCATGGCAAGAGTTTCCGTTGCCGGGACTCTGGGAGCTTGGCTCCGCGCCTCCCTCACAGGGTGTTTTCCGAGGAGGATGTGCAACAGCTGCGATGCTGTTGACTTGCCTGGTGCGGCTTCACCAGAATCTGATCCTGAAGCCCGTGTTCATTGACAATGAGCAGCTCTCCGCAGCGCTGCAAAGCACTCCGGCAGGGTATGTCGCAGCTCTTGGGCTCGTTCTGCAGAGCTTGGAACTCTACACATCAGGGCTGACGCCGGGGCTTCGGGACTTTATGGGGAGTGTGCTGTTCCTCGGAGGGTCTGCCTGGCACGCAAAGACGTTCCTTGTGGTCTCTGCTGAGCTCTCCCAGAGTGCCTTCGCCCAGTCGACAGTCTTCTGCATGATGCTCTCCATGCGCAGGCTGCTGGTGATGTGCGCTCCGATCGTGGCCTCCAATGCGTCAATGGTTATTCCCGTCTTTCAGCTGAAGAGCCTTCCTCCGGGCAACGACAAAGGCCAAGGCAGCCAACAGACACTAAAGCTGAGGCTGAAAGGGAGCATCGCCATCTGCCAGTGGGTGCTGACCTGCTACTTCATGCTCTACTTCAGTACCTATGCCATTGACTTCTACATCGCCTTTGACTACTGAGAGCCGCTTCCGCCGCCCTCAAGCATGACCAAAAGGCCGAAGCTGCGCCGTCCGGGAGGAAAAGCGTTTCCAAAAAAGATAGATGAGGAGGGGGAGAGGGAGGGGATTGACTTGCGACTGTGTCTGATGGCTAAGGCTGACGCCCGATTCGGAGTACATGAACTTCGACAACATGCTCTGGGCTTTGCTGGTTGTCTTCCAATGCATGACAATGGAGGGTCGGGTGCCCAGCTCTGCATTCATACGAGTAGAGCGAGAAAGGCGGACGCCACGCCACGAGATGTGCAATTGCCGAGCGACATACATTCAAAACCTGGCTCTGTGAGGATCCTGAAAACTGCCCATGCTTGAACATGTCAGAATCTTCGTAGGCTGGACCGATATCATGTACCGCGTGCAAGATGCCTACGACTTTGTGGCCCTGACCTTGGCTTGGCCTTGGCTTGATCACCAAGTCCCGGTGCCTGCCCAGCTTGGTCCTGGAAGGCTGCCACGCTCTACTTCTTCTTGCTGATACCGGCGCACTGCCTACACTGAAGTTGTAGACTTTCGAGCTAAATTGCTCCAGTCTGTCACCCGTTCCATGTTACCCTGGTGCCCTGCTCAGCTTACTTCTTTCTTCCTGCTGAACGTAGCGCTGGCCGTGGTAGACGAGGCACTACCACTTGCTCTGAGTGCTCGCTGTTCTAGCTGGGAGGGAGCGAATCGGATTTCCCAACGTGTGGTGTCGCCACCGCACTCTACAGATCTTTACAGCCAAAGCGAAGAGCGTCCGAGAAGCCAGTCTGCGCTTAAAGGCCCGCGCCGACTTTGATGAGGAGGAGGTGGGATCTGCCCTGGCAGCTGTGCTCCAGATCGAGTCCTCAGAGTAGCACCATTGGCTGTGAAGTCGAGGATTTCTCACGGCTTTGAGAATGGTTGCGAGGGTTTGAGAGCGGATGTTTTCTCTCCGGCTCCATACTGACTCGTACGGATGTATTCTCAGAGGCAGCATGCCAGTTGCAGCAGTCTCCTCACCGGCTCCATACTCATTCCAGGATGTTTTTCTCAGAGGCTGCAGCTGTTTGCGATGCGTTTTCCGTCCGATGATCTTGCTGCTTATCGTGCAGTCCCTCTCTCGTCCTGGTATCGGCGTCTTTGCTGGTGCAGGCATCGGAAGAAGAAGAGAGCAATGAAAAGGACGGAGGCATCGACGATGGCAAAAACGCAGTGCGGTAGGACTCTGGAGGTTCACTGTTGGTCTCTGCACGCCCTGTGCAGAAGCCCTCCGAAAGTCTCTTCTAGGCGAGGACGACGAGGTTGGAGAGTGGTCGAAGCGGGTCTCATCATTTCGTCTCTGGTCAAGTTCGCAGCATGGCGCTGCATCTAAGTTCGCTTGGCGTGCGAGTCTGTATGGCAGGATCCGGACGAGCAGCCACCCTGGCTGGATTGTAGTCTAGTGCCCCAACCTGAGCAAATGGACTGCGGAGGGACCGATATTGTGCAGCGTTCTCTCTCGAGCGAGAGGCATACCTGCAGAGCCATTGCCTTCAGCGAGTGGTTTATGAACATTATCATGCTCTTTATTGTCAGCAATGCACTGTCCTCAGACGAGTCGTTACTTTGTGGTCCTGCTTCCCGGATGCTTCCTGACAGTGCTACATTCCATGCGAGGTCATCACGATGATGATGGAGAGCTTCCCACCACCCGGGGCTCCCCAGCAGGACATGACGATCTGTTCGATTGCTTGACTGGACACTGGACAAAGTTCTTTGTGATGCCTCGTTGGGCACTAGCCAACCACCTACAGTAATTCAGTGCATGCAGCAGCTGCTGACGTTGCGGTCTCGCGGTGACTATCGCATGGTGCAGCCGCCTCTGATGCTCCAGGTGAAGATGGTGTTGCCGATGTTACTGCTGCTGCTGCTGGTGATGATGCTCATTGCTGCTGTTGTTGATGATGGTGGTGCTTGTAGTCTTGTCGTGACACGGCTCATGGTCGTGATGTTGAGACTGATGATAATGTTGCTGTTTTTGCTGATACTCGTAGTTGCAGATTATTGATGTTGGTGTTGCTGACGACACGGCGCACGAGCCTCGGCGGAGGGTGCGATGCTCACGCCGATTTCGGTGGTTGTGGCGACTCAATAGCTGCATCGAAGAAATGCCGAAACAAGCCGGTAGCTCGTTTTTACGTACCAGCAGACCTCAGCTGTGCAGAGCCAGACGAGGACATAGTCGGTTCACTGGAACTTACCTTTTTGGTGGTCTTCTGCGTGGAGATGGCCGTGTTGCTGACTGCACTAGGCCCGTGTTGCTGTCTGCTCCGTGCTGTGCCGAACATCCGCCAATTTGTTTTGCTTTCAGGCCCGCACAAGCGCGGCGCTCAGGCTTGTTGTGAAGCAGCAGGAAGGGTATGGCCTGACAAGCTTTGGTGTCTATATTTTAGAGGTGTCCACGTCGGCGCAGTGTTGCAACAACCCGTGGCAGCCGTTTAGAAGCCTGCAACAGTCATCTGTACTTCGTCAGTTGGAGAGTACAGAACATGATTCAACATTCGTACGGGGTATGTATGAGTTTGTTAATAGATGGGTAGATGTGCGTATGTACACACAGTGTACTCATCCATAACTAATGCGGCAGATAGTAGCCTTGTACAGCAGTATCGTCAAGGTGAGGTTGTCAGCATGAGTATAGTTCCAAATATCGTAGGGCAACATGAATACAAGTGAGAGCAAGAATCAGTGGAGCCTCACAGGCTGTTCCGCGGGCTTTTCCAGCAACCGTGTCACATATTGAGGAATCATGGGAACCATATACTCATACTGTGCTTCCCTTGCCACGACATCACGATTCTCTGCCGATGTTGCGACACTGGGAGATCATAGCACAGGCAAGAAAAAAGCAACGGGTCCGAACCTAGTCGAAGAAGGCAGACTGCCTCGGAATTTTCCGCCAGTGGGGTTTGGTTCCATTTGCAGTAGGATCGGCTTGCGTGGCAGAATGCCTCATCTCGAACCCAAGCCAGGTACTTCTCGAATCCAGTGACGGCTTTTGATGGTGTCATCGTGATAACTTCTGTCGTCCAGGCAGGCTGTTTTCTTCCGTGTGTGAGTGATTGCGTGGAGATATTGACTGCTGCTCCTTGCTATGAAGATTTTCTGTGAGTGCTGAGAAAGCCACGCCGCTGATGCTTTCGGTGGAAGGGACTTCTTTGCGAGCGTTCCTTCGCCAGATGTGTGTTGGGCAAGCCGGCCCCTTTACAGCGCTGCGGACGCTGCGCCTCTTCAGGGTCTGGAGCGCAGAGGGTGGGTTTTCGCTACACTGGACCACGAGTGCCGCTGGTGGCTCTCTGAAAGGTCCTGAACAAGTTGGCCAACCGCTGGCCATCTTTCAAGGTGCTCCTCAAGGCATGAAGCCCAGCTCAGTTTCTGAGAGTCTCAGCTACAAGTCGCGGCGTCGCTCGAAAGGCAATGGTTTTGACAGCCATTTCCCTGAATTACTGGCTCATCCTCTTTGCGCCACGGCCTCGGCGACAAAGCAGGGTGTGAAAGCACACACACACAAGCGACTGTTGTTTTGGCCATCGCCGGTGTGACTGCCGCAGGTAGAAGCAGTTTTTGATGTTTTCAAGAACGTTTGTCCTAGTTGCAGGCGCGGCAAGATCAAGAATGTGGCTTCAAGCGGCAACACAGCAAACATGAAGTGCAGCTGTCGGGTGCCGCCTGCCAGCCACGCACAAACTTGCATGCACTATCATTTCTGGCAACGGCTTCTGCCCGAAGCCGTCCGACATCAATGTCCTTGTCGCCTTTTTGAGGGCAGAGTCACAACGCTGCCGCTCGACCGGCGTGCGAAAGTAGGTATATACAAGGAATCGGCAGCAAGTCTGAGAGCAAAACATACAAGCGATCCTATCGACAAAGCACTTGCAAAGTGCGACCAGTTCTCGCTTCCTGCACTAGCCGAGGCTGGTCCTGTACATCTGCACGCTTATGGTGCAAACATTCTTTGCAACGGACTGCCCGGGGGGCTTTGCAGCTGTTGTTCGCTGGGCGCTTCATGTACTGGTAAGCTGGCGAATCAGATCGTCGGATTCCAGCTTAGTTCCGGAACACACTGCTTACGCCACTACAGTCCGCACAGGGCAGCCGGTTCAAGTCGCATAGCGTGGGCATGTGAGCTCCGTGTTTTCCCAAATAGTGTCGGAGCACGAGGTTCTCACGTTTAGAGTGAAGTGATTTGATCGCTATCGGCACCTGGCACGCTCGATTGGCTCACAACGCTGGTTCTGCGGCTCCCGCTGTGGTGCGGTTGCACTAAAGTCCAACCGCCCAGGACACCGAATTAGCAACATCCAGTACTTCAGGCACTCCCTAGCTTGAGTCGCAGATGAAAATCCCCAGGCCACAGTTCCGTCACGATGATTGTGGCGGTTCCTTTCTCCAAAGGGTTCCGTGGGACTTCCAAAGTTGGCAAGCGAGCTTCCGAAACACTGCCGTGCAGATTCGGGGTGCGTCTGTGCTACCGCCACAGGCCACAGTGCAGTGCACATGTCGGGTGTGACTCGTGTTTTGGCCTCTAGCATCGCGTTCCCCCCATGGGCCCGCGCAGATTTTGTGCTGGAAGACATGCTCCTGCCAAAGTCTGCTAGGTCTTTGATTGTCTGGCGTCTATGCCTGCATGACGCTTTGTAGGGACACATCATCTCCCTTGCACGAGGAGTTTCACTTCAACGACCCTGACAGTTTCGATTATGCAGCATCCCTGGAAAGCCGAGTTACAGCATGCGCATCCAGCCATCCGACTCAACGGCAGGTGACCAACCCTGGTGAGTTTTGGTGTCCTGGGACGGAGAATGAGAAAGAGGCAGCTTATCGTCAGGCTCGGAGACGTCAGAATTCGGTCGACTTGCATGATTAGTTAAACCGGGACTCCGTGCGAGGACTGCATCCCGCGTGCCAACTTCGACACCTTCCTTTGGGCTCTGGTGTCTTGGACTTTCAAGAACTGGACCGAAGCAGGTGATCTGATGTTACTCTCGAAGCTGCCTCACATCTTGACCGGAGCCACAGGGATCCAGGAACGGAGAGATTCAAAAGCAACACGTCAGCAAGGCGGAATCAAAGTCGAACCATGTCGAACCGTCACGCGGATGCTCGTTTCGCATGCTTGGGCTGCTCCAGCATGGGAACTGCATGCATTTTGCAGGCTACATGATCACCACCTGGAAAGGGTCTTAATCCGTCATCCTGGACGGCTGAGCTTGGTTTACCCCAGACGCTAGAGGATCGGCCATTATTATGACACATTCAAAGTAGGTGGAGTCTTCTTTCGTCCGATCGGAAAAAGCAGGCAACTGTTGCGTGAAGAAGTTCGGTGTTCGAGCGTGCAATGGCTGCCCTGATGAGGTCACAATCTTCCAGATCATGACAGGCACGACTGTCTTTTTTGACCACTTCCCGGGTAATGTTTAGCCCGCAAGCCCCAGGTGAGAACTGGAACACCGTGATGTATGCGGGGATGCGAGCTGCAGGCAAGAGTTGCTTCGGTTCTAGAACTGTCTGCTCCTCATGCGCGATGCTCGACTGGTGACCCTGGTGGCAACTCTGAGGTCCTGGTTTTTGCCTCCTCTTTGTGCCCCGGCAGATGATTGAACTGCGGAGTTGTGTCTTGCGGTGCGTCGGCACTTGACTCACTAGACCCACTTACTCGCCTGGACGTGTCGGCTGCTGAAAGGTGCTGCTTATCCTTTTTGGTCAGACGCTTTTCCTCAGCCTCTTGGCCGGCTTGATCTGTCCTTCCCACCACACAGGGGTGTGCAGCCAGTCCCTCGAAGGCTTGTTCCTTTCCATGCTGATGTCCAAGTTCGACCACGTACAGGACATGTTGCGAGTCACAGACGGAAGAGGTATGGTTTTGCTTCAGCTCACGAAATCTTCAGGACAGCTTGAACCAGCAAGAGGATTTACGAAGAGAACACACGGTCAATCGCCCAGCAGTGCTGGACCGTGCAAGGGAAGTCATCTCGTCATCTCCCGTTGTCCTGTTGTCGGTCGTGGTCCTGCCAAGTCTCGGCTGTCGTCAGATGATGTCAGACGTTGAGGGAGGTTTCGTTGTGGCAGGCACAGCGGCTCAGAAAAAAGTCGCTGGAATCGCGCGGAGCTCGGTGGTGTTGCAGTCTTCCAGCAGCATCTTTTGCAAGATGCCTCTTGGATCATCTTCATCATAAGCGCTCATACGCGGCTGGGTTGGCTTCAAGAACGGCGTTTCGTTTCGAATCCCTCAGGTATACTATCAGCGTGCTTTAAATTGAAGGTTAAGCTTTCTTGTGTTCTAGAGCCTAGACGGTGCGGTAGCATGTCCCGATGGTTTTTGCGCAGCAGCTAGATGAGGTGTTCCATTGAATTCCCAGAGAGCTGGCATCTTAGCGCAGGGTTTCTTCGATGCCTTCGAAGCTCTGAGCGATCTTCGGCGGCTACGAGGTCCGAAGCCGGCAAGCAGCCGCGTGCTGCACTCGGCCAAGAGCATGGCCGAGAGCCTCTCCAGCTTCAAGCGGTCGCTCACCGAGAGGCCCAAGAGCATGGCTCCACGCCTTCTAAGCTGTCTGATAGCAGTGCGGTTTCGAGCGGCAAGCGTGGGTTCAGGGACACCTGGCCAGTGGGCTACGCATGGTCGGATGCCTCAGTCATGTTCGGATGCCGGGGCTCAGTGGGCCCATGTGTGCATGTCTGCTCTCTTCAGGTTCATCTTCTCCAAGACCAATCCCGTTAGGAAGCTCTGCCATTGGATCTTGCACGCTCAGGCTTGGGCATGTCGCAGGTTGTGAGGTGCGTCTGAGAGTGCAATGCAGTGCAGCTCGGCAGGTCGAGGTCGGAGGCTGCAAGATCCTGTGGGTTAAAACACCCAAAATTCGATTGGCCCATAGCTCAGTTCGACTTCTCAAGAGGTGCTCCGTAGAAGGAAAGCACAGCAGGACAGGACAGTGGTCATGGAAGTCGAAATCCGCTAAGGAGTGTGTAACAACTCACCTGCCGAATGGACTAGCCCCGAAAATGGATGGCGCTCAAGCGGGCGACCGATGCCCGACCACTGGTGCAATTCTCACCAGTGAGTAGGAGCCCAGTGCTCTGAATGTCAAAGTGATGAAATTCAAACAGGCGAGAACAAACGCGGAGGGACGGAAGCGAGACAAGACGAATGGCAGGAACAAAGAGAGCTGAGCCATTCACGCAGAACGACGGACATCGGGAATTGACCGAGGGATGAACAAACAAGTCGGCAGACAAAGGATCGCCAAAGAGAGAGAGAGAGAGAGAGATCTGGTGTGCCTTGCCTCCCACACGCCTTGCAAGCAAGCAAGCAAGCAAGATCTGGGATTTTGACAAAGAAATCACCCGTTACGTGCAATAAAGTTGTGCATGTTTCTACGCTGGTGGGGGAAGACCAGAATCTTCCAATTGCAATACATACACTGTTGGGAAGCTGGTCGGAACTTGTCAGTACTTTCACTCCCTCTTAGACAGCCCGAAAAACGGGGGGCTTGACTCGCCCCTTAAGCTTGGGAGAAGAAGAGAGAGAGCGAAAGAGAGAGAGAGAGAGAGGTGAAGTGCAAGGGGGCACACAAGCCTGTAGAACAACACAAAAAGGGGAACTCCCACCTGAAGTCGTTACTGCAATCAGGTTTCTTGTTTTCGCAATCCGAGTCTTGCTGCACAGTCAAAAGGGGGAGTGACCCATGGCAGCCCCCACCATAACAAAATATGCTAGCATCTTTGCACTGTGGTCCTGCATTGCCCAGTCCTCAGTTGTTGTTTTGTAGTGCAAACAAGGGGGAGCTGCCACCAAACGTAGAGCACACGTGGGGGAAGGCGTCTGGCGAGGTACTAAGGATGTAGCCGTAGAGGGCGCGGGGAAGAGGCCGGGATGCGGGCTAAACTTGAGGGTTTGGGGGTAGTCGCCAGACGAACTCTACCAGCTGCACAGACCGTGGGGAATAACCCCATGCACTCGACCCCAAAGCCCCTCTTCCACAAACAAAGAAGTTGGGGGGGGCCTCGGCCCGGGTCTTCGGACCTTGCCCCGGATGCGAGCGAGCGAGCGAGAGAGAGAGAGAGAGAGAGTGGACAAAGGGTGGGCAGCAGAATCTCGGAATCACAGACTGTTACCTTTTCCAACCCGCAGCCAACACAGTTGACCTCTTCAGTATCCCAAAGTACCAGCTCTTACTCCGAATACCGGACAACTTGGGCAACGCCTTGACACACCATGCGGTCATAATCAGATTGACAGGGCTTGACCGTGATGTGATGTGCCCTGGAGTCCTAATCGACCGAGGTCTTTGATAACTTCATTCTGCTCTGCATCCTGGTCTCCACGGTCTGCTCCTGAGCTGGGGCTGCCTCACGGTTTGACGGTGTCAGCCGCCGGTGCATGGCCACGAGGTTACCATGGCGATGGACTCTCCTTTGGCGGACCCAAAAGAGTCGCTGACGATCTTCTTGCGTGGTGCAGACGAGGAGCCGCTCTTAGGATGGCGGATCACCAGCGAAGCGGAGGGTGTGCCTACGAGGTGTTTGCGATCATCTTCATTGGAGAGATGGTCATCAAGCTTCTTGCGTTGGGCCTGATCTGGGGTGGGCACCCCGGGTTCTCAAAGTCTCAGAGCGGTGGCCACTGACATGAGAAGTCTCTTCGAGGAGAGGATGCCTACTTGAAGAGTGCGTGGAACTGGCTCGATGGTGTGGTGGTCATGGTCTCCATCATCAACATGGCCAGGGGCCCAAAAAAGCACCCCCAAACGCAACAAGGGCGTCCCCTGTACTGAATCTCTGCCGAGGCCAGCTCCAGCTCCACGGGCTTCCTGAAGACGCTGCGCATCCTCCGCCGGAGCCACGGGGAAAAGACGCTGCTGCGCCCGGACGGCGAAACGCGGCCGCTCTTCCGGCTTTAGGCGGCGCTCTCAGGTGCTTTCCGGCCGCTGCGCGTCATCTCCCGCAACGAGAACCTGAAAGTTGTGGCGCGGGCCTTACTGAAACGGCTTTTACTACAACCTCGGGCGGAGTTGTGGCAAGCTGCGTGCAACCTCTCTTGCCGACTTTGCTGCAAGATGCATGGACGTCTTCGCATGCGTGGTTTGTCATTGCGATGCTTCCCAATCCTGCTAATGGTCGGGGGAGGATATCGGGAGGACGTTTCTTGTGGCATGCCGCTAGGCATCAACATGTTATTAGAGGTTGGGCGGATTGTGCTCGTACAGTCCGTGGCAGAGGTACAGACAATCTTCGCTTCCATGCCGGGCGCCTTTTCATCACGCAGCAGGGTAGCGAGACAGCTGAACAGGTCCACTTCTGTAAGTTGGCTGATGGTGCTGCCGACAATTCTTAGACATTGCCGTGGGCTGGGTCAGATAACACCAGGAGGTCGTCTTCCCTGCAGGTTCATTGAGCTAGAGTGAAGGTGTAGATTACTCACACAGCCATTCTTCGAGTGGCACTTCAGGCCTCACCTGCTGACCTTGGTCATTGTGGCAATGTCGGATCCTGAGAATTCTGAACGTTCCTCAAGATGGTGCTTCCTGAGATCCTCATGTGGCTCAGGCTCTTCCTTCTGATTTTCGCTTTGTTCGGGCTGTCCTACCTTAATGGCCAAGAGCTCAGCCACAGCATGGTGGGTAGAATTTGCAACCTAGCATTCGGCGGAGGCACATTTTTGATGTGCGATCTGGCGACCGAGCCGGGCCTTGCGAAAGAGCTCGGTCAGGACCGAAACCGGATTCGTGTCACTGGGTGACCTCAGCCAGAGCAGACAGTCGCTTGACTACAGCAGGCTGGTTTCTGTGAAGGCCCATGGAGGATAGCCAATGGAGGCAGCGCAACTAGGCCGTATGCTTCGAGAGGCCTGGAAGGATGATCTGAAAGCAGGAGATCGTCATCCTGCTAAAGACAGTACAGACTCTACATGCAGCTGGAACAGACAACTTGGCATTCTCATCTCGGCTTTGGCTGCTGAAGTCTTGCCCTCCTGAGACGTAGCAGAACAATCTAGTTTGCAAGGTCTCAATCAAGAGCAACAACATGTGACACAATCTTACGATCTTATTCTGTCCCGAAGCGCAGAAGTCTGTTGAGCTTCTTCAGTTTGAAGTTTCTCAGAAGCTATGTGCAGGACTTTACAACACCGTTGTGCTTTCCGCCTGCAATAGATCAGGTAACCGCCGGAGCCCCAACTAGCACAGTGGCATATTGATGCATGTCTGAGACAGGGTGATGCTGTTTGGACTGGCAGACTAGTGCTGCCACAGCTAGAAGGTCTCCGGTGGCCTGACCCATGGCCAGTTCCAGCCAAGCACATCCAGCTGGGCAGTCTCCTTAACTCCTCGAAGCGAATGCTGCATCTGGACGCCATTGAATGCTGTATCTTCCGTTGCGTAGTACTTTTCACTTCCGTCAGACTGGCAACACCACGGCCTGTCCGGGTTCGCACTACGTGGCCCGGGCCTTGTCGGCCAGCGGTGCAGGCGAATGCAGAAATTCGTTCCCACTGCCCTGGCCACTTTCTTGACTTTTTCCAGTTGGTAAGACTCAGAATGAGGAATATCAGCGGATTACAGCAGACACGCCCCGCGCACAGAGCGACTCACCGTGGGACCGTTGCCTCCGCACATCTCATGCATTCCTTTCGAGGCCTATTTGCATCGGACGCTGTCTCCCTCAAGGCTACTCCACGCCTGCATCCGAGACGAAAGTTTGCGGAGTTCTTTGGAGTGATGGTGAGCCCGCTGCCTGAGGTTTGCACAACCGGAATGGCTCTGCCCAAAGGCCGAGCCAATCTGAAGAAGCTGATTTCCCATGTTGCAATGCTGCGCTCGCGGCGCTCGGGAGGCCCTGACCATGACGGAAGAACTTCCAGCAGCCTGCGGACCTGGCGTCAGCAGGACGAGAACTGGCCACCATGTTGTGCGATTGGGGTACGGCAAGTTTTCGAAAGCACGGAGGGTCGAAAGAGTCGAGGCTTGCAGTTTATCACATCATGCGCCATCGCGAGAGGAACATCTCCGCTGCTGAACAACGAGGTTGGCCCAGCACAAGCTCACGTCGGATCACTGCAACGGAGTTTCTGCAGAGCTTCGCCAAGAAGTGTACCAGGGATTGCGTATGTGGACCAGATGAGCCCTGCACCCAGTCTTTTGCGTTAGAGTCATCATCCGTTTTGCGCTGAGCCTTTGGGTTTCATGACGCCATCCCTTTCTCTTCCACCGCTTCTGCCCAGCTCGATCTCTGATTCTTCCCTGCGGCGGGAGTACTGTGAACTCCACTGGCCACATGGTGCGCCCACTGCCAGAAGCACTCGAAGCCGTCCTGCACTGTCACGAGCAGCACGATGCATTCCAGGTACTTACGGCACAGGGGATGAGCTGCGCTGACCTGTTCTGCGGCGAGGCTGGAAGCACGGGCTGTGCGGCTGATTGCGGCTGTACTTGCAACTTGCGCTTCGCGTTTGCAAGTTTTTCTGCAGCCTGGCCGGTGCCTGGGGGCCTGGCCTCAGGTCGACGAAGATGTGAAGACCCAGTGCCGTGCAACTTGCAGCCAGGCTGTGGAATTCACAGTCTTGCACCAGCATGCCTTGTGTTTGCTGAGCTGTGCTTTGAGAAGGCATATCTCTCTGCATTTCAGTTCAGCGCGTTCACTGATGCCGCAAGTTGCAGGCTCCATACTTCTGTGTGGATGCATGCGGGCCCGGTTTGGAAGGAAGTGGTAGCCTCAATGCTTGATGGTGTGTTTTTTGCAGAATGACCAGGGCCCGTGCACCAGGTGCCCAATGTGAGTCCTGCAAGTACGAGTGCGAGGCACAGTGCAGGCGTGGCGTGGATGAGTGAGCCAGAGTTTTGGGGTCAGGGTTTGCTCCTTCAGCGTCAGGTGCCCAGAGTTCTGCGAGGGCCTGATCCGAGATGCTGCGCTCTGCCTAGAGCAGGGCTCGAGGCAAGCCGTCCTTTTAGCTGGGTATCGCGAGGGCATGTGCAGGCGAAAGCAAGATGAAGCGATGCTCCATCACCCCCAACTTCTAGGTATGCCTACGTGGGTAAGATGCTAGAGAGGCACTTTGTCACGAAACCAGCGCATCCCCTCGCATCGGTTGTCGCAGACATGCTCGAAGGACTTCCAACAAAGTGGGATCTTTCGCATCAGGTGGGTGCCAACCATCAGCCAAAACTTCAACAACATTTGGTTTGCAATGTCAGCAGCTTAGCCTTGCTCAGACGACAACCAGCAGAGAGTTCTTGCATCCTGCTGGTGTGAAAGACGACGCTGACGACGACAGTGACAGTGACGACACAGACCATCATGCGAATCATGATGGTGATACGCTTTTGACTCCTTGAGCTCCCCCATGATGTCAGAGTCCAGGCGGACTGCACCGTACTGACGGAGGGGGCGGTGCAGCAGGGGGTAGTACGCAGAATACTGATGCAACGATGTTGCAACAAACATGTACCCACAGTACATGATGCCGAGAGATATTCTCCCGACGGTGGATTGTGAATGTGAGTGAGGCTCACCCTCTTTGAGATTTCGACCACGGAGGGCTGGGTGGATGTGATGTACTCTGCTGCAGACTCTGTGCAGCCTTACGTTGCCTGGCGGCAATCCATAGAGCAGAGAGTTTCGGGGGGCTAGCGTTGTGAGATGACGTCTACGCAGGTGCAGCCCAAGAGAGACAACCAAGAGATGTAGGGCGCCCAGGATCTGATACAAGCTGAGAGCTTGCTTTCTTAAAGATCTTCCCCGAGGCTGTGGGTTCCCTTCTTTATGCTGTACCTTTTCTTCAGCAATATGTCGTCGCCTCAGGGACCGGTATTGCAGGAGTGTCCTTATTTTGCATTTTTGTGCATCGATTCCGCATTCCTGGTTGAGTCCTTGCTCCGTAAGGTTCATCATCAACTTGAGCGTGGGCGTCATTGTCGACAAGTTCATGTCTATGAAGCAATCCAACACTGCGGTGCGCCATCCATCAGAAGGTTGAGTTCGAATTAGCATCTGACAGCGGCTGGCTACCTTTTGCTGCCTTCCTGAATAATCGCAAATGATCTGTGTCACGAAGTGTGGGAAGGTTCTCGAAACCTCTGGGTAGCGGCCGCGCAGGTGATGCTGACAGAACCGCAGAAGAACTGGGTGAATTCCATCATGAGCCTGTACTCAAGGCAGGGTTCGCGGTTGAACCAGCATTTTGCCAATCTTGGAAGGTCGCGTCTGAGTAGGCCTTCTGCCGGCATGCTGCAGTCTTGTTCTCCGATGGTGACGGGCGCCGGTCATCGAGACTCTGCACAGGGTTTTTCAGCAGGATGCGCATTCACTTCGCTCTGGTGTAGTTGTGAGCCTTTCTTGCCGCAGTTACTGGTGAGAAAGTTACTCCGAGCAGTTGCAGTGAGCATGCACAGCGCGGGAGTTGAGCGCATGTGCAGGCGGCAGATTGTCAACCTCATGTCGTTCCGGCACCAGTTGCCGTCTGCAGTCAAAGCAGTTTTCTGAAGTCACGGTATTCTTCGCGCTGCACCACCAAAGGTGCTGCGTTTGCTCACCGCTCTTGAAGCAACGTGCATTCTGATGGCAGGGACCTTCACGAAAAGCCTTGGTTGAGACGGAAATGCTATGAGCTGGCTCGGCCGGCTTGTTTTCCTAATATTGCCAGCGTGTCGTGGAGAGCGATGATGCGCAGGGTCGGGCACAGGGGAGTTTTGGATGTGTGATGATGTGTGTGTGTGTGTGCGTGTGCGCGTGCGTGCATGCGCGTGCCGCGATCGTACAGGGGCTAAGAGGGTCCCTCCTCTTTTTGCATGGTGGCGGCATAAAGCGATTCGGCTAATTTCGAAATAGTTACCCAACCTGGGATGCAAGCTAAGATGCTGCCTGGTGCAACGAACCTCCATTCATGCATCAGGAGGTGACAAAAGGACGCCAAGATCATGCACCTGCAACACATGCTAAGCGCGCATTCCAGCATCAAGTTGGACGAAGTCACCCCTGTGACCAGCTTACATGTGAATATGTTCGGAAGATGAGCAAGAGCGGTACATGTCAGCAACGTCATGGTATTTAGAATGTGGCCGAGAATAAGGTTGAACTTCTGCTCGGTGTGGTGTCGTAGGTCGTTCGGAACAAACTAGTACTCGTGCTTCCGCATGGCGCCACATTCTGCAGGGCTTGCGATGTGAGATGCGGCTTCTGCATGTGCGCTGGCGAAGAAATCCAGGTATCCAGCGAATTCTTCGAGACCAGCATCATGGGTGCAATCGTGATCAACACGCTGTTCCTGGTGTCTTGTCGTGTTTATCCCTAGCCGCCCTAGCCCTGGGATCTGTGAACAGAGGCCTCGGCACGGTTAGATTAACAGGACACGAGAGACAAGCTAAGAGTTGGCAGTTCTTTCTGGACATCGACCGAAGTGCACGTCACTATGTTCCGTACAGTTTGGACTTTTGTTTCTCGTGTCTCGGCAGGCAGCCAAGATCACTCCCACCCCGTTTCCGGAGTGGGAGACATTTCTGGAGACAGTGAACTACGTCTGGATCGCAGCATGTACCGAGATGGTTGCCGACGGCATGTCAAGCATCTGTGGCATTTGTATCCTCGGGCATTCTTTGCCGCAGGGCTGTGCAAACTCGTGTTCTAAGATCTTTGCCGGGATCTTCACTGTTGAGTGCGTGCTCAAGATATTCGCTTTGCGAACCAACTACTGGGGTTCTGCACTCAGAGTAAAAGTGATTTCTGCAAGGTGGAGGTGCAAGTTTGGCTGCTCAGGAGACCGATGGAATTGCTTCGACTTCACATGCGTTGCGACGGACTTGGGTTCGCAATTTGCTTGTTTAAATCCTGAGGTTTCCTCGCCACTCCAGAAACAACCTCCTGTTCAGGTTGCTACGATTGTGGGCATTGTCGTCAGCAGAGCCTCCAATGCCGACGGCTTGCTTGCCTGCGGAACACAGCAGATGCAGAGGTCATCCGTCACCAAAATATTCGAGCCCTTTGGAACTTGTCGCGACATTTGGCTTTCAGTGTTCCCAGAAGAGTGGGAAAATAGTGAAAGACAAAGCTCTCGCCGGAAAGACCTAGTCTGCGATCATGACCGCCCGGCGTTCCAACGGACTTGGCCCCCTGATCCTCTTTGCAGTAGCATCTTGCCTGGTGGACCTGTGGACTCCTTCCACTGGCAAGCTCCCTCGCGACCTGGCTCTGGCGGTGGCCGACGAGGTTCCCAAAGGGAGAGAAACGCTGCACGATTGCTTTGATTGCTGTTACGACTGTGTGCATGGCATGTCTGAGGCGCCTGCAGATGAGGGCGGCTTCATGACCAAGGTCTTCGCCGCAGCAGCCCAGGGCTGCACCGCCGCGCTTGTGGCCGCAATCCTGTCCGCCATGTGCGAGCCCCTGGTGAACAGGCCGGGACCCTGCCCTGCTGCAACAAACCTGAGCCGTGAGCAGACAGAATTTGCCGAATCCCTGAGGCTGCTGGTGAAGCGCATGACCGTGGCCCAGGCCTATTCTGAAGTTACTTTCAGCCTCGTTGCCAACTTCTTCCTCACGACCTTCCCGACGAACATGCTGAAGTTTCCAGTCTTCGAGGCAGCTCTCCCTCAACTTTTAGATTCTAGATGCCGTATCAGACCGCCTGACTCTGTGACAGCACGATGATATCCTTAGGTCATCAACAGGGCCATGATGTACACTAGCCTCTCCCCGGGTGTGAGCGGATTCATCAGCGGCTGGCTCTTCTGCACGATCATGCTCCCCGTGACCAACTACCGCTTCCGCAAATCCATGGGCTGGGAGATCAAGGCCTCCCTCCTCTACCAGGCCAGGGGGTGCGCCGGGTGAGCGGTGAGTGCCTTAGGCCCCTAGGCCCCTAAGCTTGAGGCTTACATTCCGACGGTGGCCCGCGACATCATCTACGGCTGGGCCCGTGGACTGGCCGGCCCTCGCATCCAGGATGCGCTCGCTCCAACCACCTTCACGCACAAGGCCATGGTCTTCGGGCTCACGATCTGGGCCTCCTGCATCATCTCATCTCCTTGCAACGAGTGGCGTGGATACACCCTGCAGCCTCCCGACAAGAAGCTCCCCTTCAACATCTACTTCAAGCCGATCAACTACGCACGCTCCACGGGTATTGGATCCACGATCATGGGAGTGGCCCTGTGCTTCGGAATGCTGGTGACACCCTATGCCGAGGAGGCCTTTGCATACTTCAAGGAGCACACGGCCATTGCGATGGCCATCGTCGCCGTGTTGATCATCGTGGTTGTAGCCTTTTCCAAGTGAGCTTCGCGCTTTTAGATTGCGAGTTTGCGCCAATCCGGATACTCGGAGATCCGTCTCACGCCGCGGGTGTAGAGAATTTTTCGGAATCAACGAACGAACCTGGAATCGGGCTTTTGCAAGCACGACAGCAAAAGGATTGCTTTGTTTGGACATGAGTTGCGTCTGGTGTGCCGGGACCCCCCCCTGGGCATGACTGCAAGATCAGCAGACGGTCCTTGAGCTCAGGTCAGGATCGACCCCATCATCCAAGTGATCCGCATCTTTCGCATTGTTGGGTGCCCTGGTGCCCTGAGACCGCTCTTGATCTGAAGCTGTTGCCTTTTGATTTCGCGTGTTTATTGCCTAGGCGAGACTATTCCGGCTCCTACGATTCTTGAAGGGCTTGCACCTCTTGCTGGGTTCAGAGAGACGGGTACTCGAGCTGCTTCTACAGTCGTCTGCCGGCCTCCTGTGTGCCAGGAACAAGATCTTCATGGCGTTGTTGATGTCATTGCCAAAGCACCTTAGCTTGTGTGGACATTCCTAGTAGATCAGAGCTGCCCTCTTGCCCAATGCCCGGTCGGCGGTTTGCACTGGGGTTTGTGTGCAGTCTTCTGTTAAAGTTAAAGGCCATAAACATTAGGAGGTGTTTGTTTGTTCCTTGTTCCTGTGTGTGTGTAGGCAGAGACATGCTGAGCAGGCTCATGAACGTTCTGCTGATCCTGTTGCTCTTGCTCATTCTATACAGTCCGCTGCTCAGTCCTGGCGCAATCATTCGAGAGCATCAAGCCTTGATGCCATCATCAAGTTGAGCTTTTGAGTGCTGGAGGCATTCTGGGCGTCAGTCTTTTCTCGACGACCAAGCTTGGAGAGACTTTGAATGTTCATGCGCAGTCCCGACTTGTTCTTGGAAAGTTCACAGAGATTGTTCAGTGAATCAGAAATGCAAACTGGTTCCGTTGAGTTAGCTGAAGATGATCAGCAAGGTAGGCAGGGACCATGAAGGTTCATGGTTGAGCTCCCAGGGAATTAGAGCCTTCGTGCGTCCCGGCATGGCAGGAACTTCCAGAATTTCATTTTGGCCTTCATCACGCTGTTCCGAGCCTCGACAGGGGAGGCTGTCGGTGCATTTGAGTAGAGCAGAGGTGTACAAACGCTGCCTTTGGGTGGCTGCAGTTGAAACCCGATCATACATGCACGGAGCTGTCTGCAGAGCAGGCTCAATGTTGTCGCTTGGGGCTCTGCTCGGAAACCGCTGTTGCTTCGAGGATCAGCGATTAAGCCTCTGCAGGCCTGGAATGAGATTATGCACGAGCTGGCGATGACCGAGGCCCTCATGCCCCGTAAACCTGGCTGTCGAAGTATACCCAGAGTCATTGCAGTTTCACTTGAACTCTTCGCCAGCTTGGAGTTGATCGCAAGCCGTTGGAGCTCGAGCAAATTATGTGGGTGATTTGTTGAAGATGGAGCTAAACTGGAGTGCCGAAGGCTGCGCGCAGGACGGTACACTGCTGGCCGGCGCCGATGCATCTCGCTTCGTCTCTGTGGACATCCCGAGTTTGGGATCGCCAGAACCTAAGGTGAAGGGAGGCTTTGACGCCTTCCTCGCGGAAAATCCGCACTTAGAGTCGCAAGCATACAACGAAATTAAGAAATGCGCCAACTGCGGAAAGCCATGTGCAGTCACCATGGACATTTGCAACTCATGTGGTGCGTCCTTGGCGGACATCGCGATCACCAAGAGTGCGAACCTTTTCGTCGGTTTCATCTTTGGTGTGGACAAGGCCAACTTTCCTCTCAAGATCTCGATGAGGCATGAGACAGAGGACATCATGGTATTCGACGATCCGCTTGCAATCACTCGGGCGCATGTCCTGTCAGTACCGACGCAGGCTGAGGGGCCTGAGGGGTTCGGAACGCATTTCATACTGCTGGGCTCCTGCGGCTCCTGCTGCCAGGTGTACTGTCCCGACATCCGGTCGCTGTTCTCTGACCCTCCAAATGCATTGGTGCTCCTGAACAAGATGGAGCAGGCCGCGTGGACGGCTCTGGAGCAGGGCCTCTCGGCATAGAGTCTCCGTCCCAAGCTGCTTCATTGCGACAGCACGAAGGGTCCCAAGGATAAATCTCTCCAAAGGCGACTGGGAGGCTTTCTCCGTGCCTGAGCCGAGGCCCTCTGGCCTCTGAGGCCTGGCGGCGTCAGGCGACGACAATTCACGGTTTCAAATCTCCGCCACTTCCTAGATCGACTGTAACATCAAAAAACCGCCTACGCGCGCACGCGCGCGTTCGTGTGAATGTATGTTCCTGTATGCATGCACGCAGGTATGTGGCGGGTATGTGTGAATGCAAGCATGGACGTATTTTTGTATGTGTGCATGCTTGCTTTCATGTATGTATTGTGTTTGTATGTGTGTGTGTGTACTTGCGTATGCATGCAGTTGCCATATGCACATACATACGTACATCCATTCCTACTGTATGTGGAGGTGTTCATGAACGTACATGCATGTGTATGTACACAAGGCAGGCAGGCAGGCAGGCACGCACGCACGCACGCACGCACGCACTTACTTACCGCACCGCACCTCACCGCACAGCACCGCACGCACCGCACCGCAGACGCAAGTGCCCGTCCTCGGATATCTGCCAGGCCCTGTCGCCAGCGGGCAACGCCCTTCCCATAGCGGAGCTGCGCTGCTGGGATTGCACTTGCCAGACAGTTCGGACTTTGTAAGGTTTGCACCTGGCTTTCACATTGATGCGGTGCACTTTCCATCGCCAGTTCGTTGGACTCTCCAAGATTGCAAGGTCAACATGTCCTGATGGCATTCAACCTGCCGCCGTCGCAGCACACTTGCCTGCAGTTAGACTGTTTATGTCGATGCAGACGTGCACATAGGCGGCGTTCTGTGGAATGCTGGTTGCATCTCCGACGCGATTTGCCCTTCGTGCAAGTTGTCGCCTCTGTGAACCTTTGGTGTTTGTATGCATATGTACGACAAGTCCGAATAGCAATCTGGCAATCCAGAATCGGGTTCGAGTGGATGCCGAGAAACATCTATTCCAATATGTCGGCACTGCCTCGGCCAGCAATCATTCTCCTGTTTTTGCGTAGCTTCAAAGCTGAGTCAAGGCTTTGGGACTCTTGAATCCGGACAGAGATGCTGCAGAAGCCATAATACCGCCAATCACGTACGTTGCCAAAAGTAGCAGAGCCCCACAAGTATCAACCATGACGTGAAAAAAAGAACATTTCCGAAGCTATGCGGGCCGACCTGCAAAGCCTGAAGTTGGACGCAAATACCGACAGAAATCTTCAATGAAGCTGCACTTGTAGTAACCCCAGGTTTCTTGAACACCGTCCATATCTTTCGTACATCAATCACTGGGTACACGTGCCAGCTTCAGCATGTGTTTCCTTTCGCTTGCTAGGTATCTATGCTATCTGAAGTTGTGTTAGGTTTCCACTTGTCGGGCCGGGTGCAAGGAACCGTGCAGGTAGTGCTGGTGCAAGAGTCTGGTAGGTTGCTAGAGTATCGGAGATGAACATGCAAGACACAGGACTTCAGGGCTGCCCCGAGAGCTTTGTGGCCAATGTCTCGTGCATCTCGTGGCTATCCCTGTTTGCAGAAATACAATGTTACAATGAAAACTCGAAGGAAAGACACGTTGAAGATCCGAGACAGCTCGGATCTCATGTTGTGTCTTTCGCATCGTCCATCTCAAATGCTATGAACCTCTGCAGGTCATAATTTGCTTCGCTGCAATGCCTTACAGTCCTGGCCAAAGTACTAGTATCATTTACACTTAAGAAAGATGCAGCAGCACCCACAAGCTACTCTAAATGTCACAAATGTTGAGGACCGGATTGGACGAGCGAATGTGAGTCCTCGAACCCGTTGAACTTCATATCTTTGTCTTGTAATATCAAAACCATCTGGTCCCGTATGTCTTGCATCTCTATCGAAATCTTGCTAGAAGTTTTTGGACTCTTGTCTGTCCCGCGGCTGTGAACATATCAGAGATGTTGCAGATGCTTGGGATCCTCAGTGCTTTCTTCGATACACACCAGCGCGGACAGAACTAGCTATGCCAGAGGCATGGGCTTCGGCACTGTTCTTTTCTGTCACAGAGAGCATAGCCCAAAAATCCCTGCTTATCGCTCAGGAGACAGAAGTGTGTTCAGAGTGTGTTCCAAAGCAAACAACTAGAAGACCGGTGAAAAGCTCTCGAAACGGTCTCTTAGGTTTGTGTGTCTGGTGATAGAAGGCTCAGGTTGAAGCGGCCACTGCTTTTGCCTCGGGGTGTCTATCGGCAGCTTGTGGGCCGCCGGGCCGAGGTATCAGCTGCACTTGCAGTACATGCTGCTGCCTTTGTTGCCCTCCCACTTGGGAGTGTACAGGACACAACGCAGACATTCCTGCTGCACATCCAGTCAACTTCGTGTTGGTTTTGAACATGCCAGGAAGGGTGGCCATTTCCTGAAGCTGCGTCACTTTCCACTGGCCTATGTCCTGGCAGCCTTGAAAGCCTTAGTCGAGATTGGTGAGTCGTTTGATGCCACGAAAATGATGCCAAAGGACGCAGCTGTAGACCAGTGTGTTGTATTTCGCAGAAAAACCAGATGCTTCAGTAGACTTAGCATCGTGCAGGAGCTGGTAGCGCAAATCTCCAAACTCGGGGTGGACTATGACCAAGCGCACGCAAAGGACATGGAGCGCCTGGAGAAGAGCAATGCGCCTTGCATGATCGCTTTGAGGTCAGAACAAGGGGAAAATTGTTTCAGGGGCTCCGTGCCTCGGCAAGGCTCGGGGCACCCCAGGCCCGAGCAAATGTTATCCGTACACGTGTCTGTTCTTTCCGCTGCCCGGTCCAACATTCACAGGTCTATCTGAGAAGGTTCATCGCGCTGTCTTTGAAATGAGGTTTAGGACACTGCACAGCTGTGAAATGGAGCATTGAAAGCCGGCAGAGGAGAGCCAAGGCACTGTTGGCGAACTTTGACCCAGCTGATTTCTCGTACGGTATCTCAAGTGGTGTGGTGGTGCACAAGACGACCGGCGCAAAAATGGAAGGTGTGTCTGCAAAGGATTTAGATGGGGCAGACAAGGCAGCATTGCAGGGCTATGGCCGGCCATACGTTGATGGTAAGCCAGGCCGGTAGAGCTTGCTGGACGCGTGATTGCAGCATAGCTTCTGTAGCATTGACTTGCAGCTCTCCGTGATTCTGTGCTCCTTGAACCAGGTGGGGTTTACTACCGCTACCCCCGGCCTCCGCAGCCACTGCCGCTGTTGGGAGCTTCGTCTGCATGCTGCGCTTCGGTTCCCCCCGGATGTACAGCAGCGTGACGGGCCCCACTGAGTCCACTGCGTCCAGTCCTCGTGCTTGTTTAATGCTGAGCAGCCCGGCGAAAGTGCTGAGATGCTGTTGGGCGCTGGCATAATCATCTGGCGAGAGCGCCGAAGAAATCTTCAGGGATGTCACACTTCTGACAGACAGGCAATCTGTCCAGCATGCGAACGTTGCTTGAGTTGTAGAATTAGAAGTCAGTGCCTTCTGTTGACGTAGAGGGTGCAGTGTCCCCGGTTCGCCGGACTTGACCATTTCTGCGGAACGCTGCATGCGAAGGTGGAACTGTACAAGCAGGGTGAGTGGTGCTCTCCGGTGGAGCTTTTCGACACGGAAGCCAAGTTTGAGGTGGGGACATTCAGACTCTTAATGCTAGGCAGTAGGACTTCAGGTGCGTTCTTCACACAGGAACTTTGAAACCGCCTTGGTGGTATCTTCAGGTGCTCAAGGACAAGTGCCTCATCGAGCACCCGAATAGTTGTGTCACGTGCTTACAGCCGCTCAGGCTTTCGCTATCGACTAACGGTTGCTGCACAGCATTAGGGCTTCCCGTATTCCAAGGCGCAAAGTCCGTACTTTTCCTTCTGCTTCTGGGTGCCGGACTCGTGCGGTTAGCGCTGCATGGAAACCTGCCTTTGCCATTGCTTGATGATTGGTTGCTAGGTCTTGACGCTTGCTGTCGAACGTGTTTCAGAAACGGCGGGTCCAACACCCAGATCCCGTCAGGTGACCTACACCTTGCTGATCACCTTCATGGTCGCAGTCTTACTGTCTGAGAATTCATCCGATGGTTTGGGTGAGACATCGACTCTACTGTACTTCTTAGTTCATCCAGCTGTCTGCAGGTCATGAATCTAGTGATCGCCGTGATTTTGGAAGGCTACGAGGTTGCCAGCTTTTGCACGAGCAGTCACGCAGCGTGTGTACCAGACCAGAAATGCCGAGAAGTGCGAGCCAATCCAAGTGCTTGACACATGCAGGATGGCAAGGAGAGTCCAGCTTCAGAAGTTGTGGACGTCTGCGTCAAGGCCTTCATGAGTTCAGAGTCTTTCAGAGAGGTTCAGTTCAATGGAGTCGTTGTAGCGTCAATGCGCAAGATAATATAGGTTGTCCGGAATATGCGTTGTTGCCGCGCCCCTGCTGGCTGCCAGCTGTGGCTGAAGCACGACCCGGACCACAGACTGCACGCACCTCAAAGTGAAAAGCGGCATAGAATCCGCCCGGAGTCAGTTAGTTGCTTGAGTCGTCAGTCCACCACAAGCAGAGGATACTATAGTTGGCAAAGAGTCGGAATCTCATAGGAGATGCGCCTTACACAGCAATTTCAGGTCGCTGCCGCTGGGAGAAGCTTTAAGCTTCATCAACAAGGTTCACCGCAGAGTCTGTTCTCTGTCGTTACAGTCCAGATTTCTGTTCCATGCAGGCTCTTAGAGAAGTTGACGGGTACGGAGCTTACAGAAACGGCTCTGCAGCCGACATCCTTTGGCTGCAACACGTGAAGAGGAAGCAAAGCCCCCCAGGCACCACAGCTACGCATCTGCATCCAAGAGCGATCGTCCAGGCTCTTCAGGTCAGTCTCGGGCGGAGAATCGCAATAAAGGACCGCCGACTGGAGTGACTCCTGGCAGGTTCCGGGTCTGGACTGCATGTCCTGCAGGTGGGAACTGTGGAGATGCAGTGCCTCTTCGGACAAGTTGCAGTAGGATTCCGTAGTACCCATTGCTGCAGTCGCTGCCGATGAAGTACGTTGCCGCGCTCGACGTTCAGGCACCGTGCCATGACAGTATGTACATAGCTCCAATGGTTTTCGACTGCAAGTACCATCAACACCTTGGACTTTGCTTTCAGCCAACATGCAGATGCCAGTGAGTTGGCATTTCCGATGACCAACAGCCTGGCACGATCTCGCGCGCACTGACTCGAGGTCGGCGAGAACGGACGGGTCCACTTCATATCAGCGTGCAAGCAGGCGGTTCGGTCTTTGCCTGGTGCCTGGGTCGAGCAGCACCTGGTCGCAACTTGTCCATCAGGTTATGAGATTCGTCTGCCTCGGAGACGATCTGGCACCAGCCTCGGGCAATGGACTCCTGAACGAAACTTAAATTCGAGATTGCTGTGCTGGTGTGTGCTGTGTGGCTACACATGACTGCGCAATGCCTGCAGATAGCTCCTGACAGGCACGACTGTCCAGGTTGTGTTCTCTTCAGTCTCTGTCGGTGTAGTATTATGTAGTATCTCTTTATGAGGCAAGTCTCGAGGACCTTGACACAGTTGAGGCGCAGCTGGTGACCATGAGCCGTGCCTAACTCTCGTGCTCTTCCTCTCTGGCCTCTCACAGTCGATTCTGGCTTCTGTCGCTTTGCAGGAACATATGGACAAGAAGCAGCGTGAGAAGTTGCGGAGGTGGCTTGATGTCTGCAGACTGCAGGTGTCTTTAGCTCACCGCCAGCTTGTGCGTTCTGAGTTTGGGAGTTTCGTGCCAGACCTATCCCTTTTCGTAGAATCCTGCTTTTGGAGACGTTCTCTGCAGGCTGATCGAAAAGAGCGAGCTCCGCATCCACAGCAAAATTGCGTGAATTCCCCGGCAAGGGCACACCTTCACCTTCAGCTCAACAACGATGACAGTGCTTGATGTGCCAAAGAGTCTTATCGTCCATCAGGAAAGACGGCCTAGCAGAAGGACTCAGCTTCGCGACCAGCAGCGGGCTCAGCCGATAGCATCGCGGGGCCCGGGGTTCGGTTCGGATTTGCTGAGGCAAAGGAAAGGAAGGCAAAGGCCTTGGCGCGGGCGGAGGGAAGGTCCCAATGAAGGACTTGAAGCAGGAGGCCGGGCGGTCGGACGATGGACTCACGAAGCACGCGTTCCCTGCTCCATGCAAGCGGAAAAGGTGGCGGCTCTGAAGCTTCAGACGGTCCGGCACTTCCGTGATCTTCGCCGTCGTTGCTGTCCCTTCATGCCCACGATGCGGCTGGTACTGAGGCCTTCAAGGGAATCCTGAGAGGCAAGAGCAATGGATCCTTGGACAAGGACAAGGCCAAAGCAAAGGAAGCCAAGGATGGTGAACGATCGCTGCCTTTTCCGGAAGCTTCCAAGCTCTGGTTGGAGCATGTGTTGTGAGAGGACGGGGATGCAGCACCATCCACGGCCCCCGCAGCTAAGGACGCGTGTCTTAGGCAAGTCTTGTCTTTGTCCGGACGAGAAGCTGAGCCTGCCTACCGGGCACTGCCGTGTGCAAGTTGATTGTTAAGATGTGTAGAGTGCGGCGCAGGAGGCAACACCTTCGAAGCCGGAAGATCGGCCGCAACCCTGGCACGTGTCACATCTTCGAATTGACAGCGAGAGCCCGGAGTGAGGGTCAGCAGCGAGCCTGAGTTGATTTGCCGTGAGAGTGAGATGAGGCCCGTGGAAGGCGACGGCGGCTTGGGACAGGCTGCCTCTACTTGATTTCTACATTAAGCTGGCTGTGTTGCATCAAGAATCACGTGTGCCGCCTCTTACAGTACTTTCTCATCGTGTTAGCTGCCAGCCAGCTGCCGGCCCGCCCTGCAGAGCCTCCCTTTGTACAGAAGCTCTACTCACGTTATGGCCCTTAGCAGCACCAACTGACTCCCTTGACTTTGGCTCTCCGCTCCGGCCAGGATGCGCATGGCCCGTTCTGCGGTGAACCGCTGGAGGAGGACCCCCGGGCGTTCAGCATCTCTTGAGCATCCCGAAACACAGTTGCGAGGACCCGATGCCTAGAGGGGATCGCCAAGCTCCCTAGGCCCTAGACCAGGCTGGACCCGGAGTGCGGGGCACATAGTGGGCAATTGCTCAAGTGTTTGCATGTGCTAGTTTCAGAGAGCGCGAAAAGTCTGAAGTTGAAGCATGCCCCATGGACAGCCGTCATCACAGGTTTCAGGCTAAGCCCTGAGTCATCCTTGAGGTTGTCTGCGCCAGCAGAGAGGGTAGGAGGAGGGCCTTTACGAGCTTGTGGTCGGATCCAGCAAGAGAGACGCCATGCCCATGCCGTGTCTATGTTTCATGCACCACACAAACCCTGTGAACAATGTCAAGATGGTTGAATTGTCGCTTCATTCGGCTGTGGAAGCTGCTCAGATCAGCTTCGCTGCAAACTGCAAGGCCGATTGGAGCATCACGAATGACATGGGCAGACGGAAGGATACAGCTTGTTGTTGTGGCGGGTACTTTTAGCACAATGCTGCGGCTGAATCCTTCCGTGCAATGCGAAGTGGCTGTAGTCTGTCCCACGGGGTCCCCATGTGTGAACAAGTACTGAGACGTACGAGGACAATGTATCTGTTTCCAAGTATTCCCATTGGATTGCACGAATTCAGTGTCTCACACGTTTCATGATTATCTTGCCACGGGTAAAGAAGATTCTGAGATGTCAACGCCTGGACGCTTACGAGCACATTTGTGTGGCTGTTTTTGTGGACATGCACTACGAGGCAGGGCCATATCAGAAGGTGAACTTCAGCTTCTAAGAAGCTCACTTCACCGGCAAACCCATCGTGGACTTGCAGAGCAAGTGCCCTATGAAGTTTTCCCACTCGGGTGACGACCTAGCAGCGCACATGCTGCTTGTCCCACGGGTCGGAGTCGAGTCGCATGCCTCCGTAGCTGGAAGCCAGTAGCTGCAATAGCTGAACTACCATACGACTGCTGCTCGCCAGTTTGTGCACGGTAGTAGCGCGCCTCCAGTCTCCAGTCGCTCTTGCGATGGCAAGATGTGTGTGTTTGCAACAAGCGCGTTGTCGAAAAGTGAGATGCTTTGTGAGATCCGGATGTTCTGCACCGAAAGCCTGAGATTTTAGTAGAGTGTTGGTTGTTTGTTTGTGAGGTGTCTTGCCCACGTCCAGGTCGTGGACTCGCGTGAGTTGTGGAAGTTCAGACCCGATCGAACGGCTCGACATGGCTCGCCCTGCTCAGTCTCAGCCCAAAGCGCAGGGTCCTACGGGGTGGGAAGCGGCCATGAAACGGAACACGAAGGCCGGGTGTGGGCCTGGCCCTGGGAACATTCGGGCCGAGCCACGAGACGCTGGGCCGCACAGGCGCGCGAGAGTGCCTTGTCGATGGCAGCGCGGCCTCTCTACTCGGCCCTTTGGCGCACAACATGCCTTCCAAGCAGTTTCGTGGATGTTTTTCCCACAGCTCAGGTCTGCTGCGTGCGCTACAAGGAGATCAAGGTGCTCTGGTGGAGCACGGGGAACGGGGCAGTTTGGGTTTGGGTGAGGGCTTCGAAGTCAGGAAGAGGAGCCGAGCACGGCCTCGGGGCCCCAGCTGCTGGGCTTTGCAGAGCCCTCGGGAGGTGCGGAGGGGATCACTTCGACGCGGATAGCATGAGCAGCTCCATGCAGCCTGGCAGGTCCTTACTTCATTCTGGCCTTGTTGCTGGATGTGAACAGTCTCTGGCACTGCTGGCAACTTGATTCAGGCTTTCTGTTGTGTGCCCGACGGTACTTCAAAAGCACGCAGAACGACTAAGACTCTGGCCACATTGCTCTGTGCAAATGGCAGGCGGCACCTAGGATCCAACCCAGGCTTCCCAAAAACTTCCGCCCTACAACAGCTTTTCGCAATGCCCCAGCTTCGGGCTTTGGTGTCCACCCAGCCGAAACCGGGACTTGATCCCCTTAGACTTCTTTCGGAGTTTATATAATTGAGCAGCTTGAAAGATCTGAGATGATGAGCAGAGCCCTTTCTCTGGAGACGAGCTAGCCTCACCCGCGGCTCGTTCGGTCAACATGACCTGAGAGAGTGGTGTCCTCTTGCCAGTCGCATGGATGCTACGTGCCGATTGCGCGGAGCCTAGATTAAAGCAAGCTGGCGAATCAACATCCACAAGAGCTATGGCTGTGCCGAAGGGAAATACAGAAAGATCTGCCAGGTGTGTGTTTGTGCACGAGGGGCGGAGCTTGACCTGCCTTCCTCCTCTCACCTGGTAGAGAGAGAGAGAGAGAGAGAGAGAGAGAGACCCGCTGAGGGGCCAAAGGACATCCCGCGAACTGCGGGTGTGCGTCGCGCACGAGGGTTAGGGCATGGACGCTGCCCTTTCCCTCAAGCCCGGTAGAGAGAGAGAGAGAGATCTACCCGGTATAAGAGAGAGAGAGAGAGAGAGAGAGAGAGAGAGAGAGAGAGAGAGAGAGAGAGAGAGAGAGAGAGAGCGAGAGAGAGGGAGGGTATAAGAGAGAGAGCGAGAGAGAGAGAGAGAGAGAGAGAGAGAGAGAGACAGAGAGACAGAGAGACAGAGAGACGGAGACACACACACACACACACACACACACACACACACACACACACACACACACACACACACACACACACACACACACACACACACACACACACACACCACACACACACACACACACACACACACACACACACACACACACACCACACACACACACACACACACACACACACACACACACACACACACACACACACACACACACACACACACACACACACACACACACACACACACACACACACACACACACACACACACACACACACACACACACACACTTGACACATCGTGTCGCAGGTCTGATAAGTCAGTGCATATTGCCGAAAGCTGTCAGGAGAAGTCAGGAGAAGTCAGAACCTGTAATCTAAGGTACTGCCATAGGACGAACGCAAATCACTCGTAAAAGACTGACATGTGCAGACCCTCACTCATGACTGTCGCATTCACAGATAAGCTCTCAAGCTGCCACATGCGTGACCCATGAGCAGCTTTGTGCAGGTACAGGTTCACACGTCTGTGAACCCATCCAGTCAACACCCATAGCTTCGTTGGCGTGGCTAGGATGTGACTGCCACGCCCCCTGCTGCCTAACTCACTCGCATCTCTTGGAAACAGAGTTGGACACACACAAGCCCCGAAGGGCTCCGTGCAGTGTTGATGGTCGTTGCGCGCTGTTTTTCTCACCGATTTTTGCATCAAAACGTCTGACACGATACTCACTCGCAAACGCTCCTGTACTAGGTCTACCACAGCACGCATCCACTTCTTGGAAATGCTGCCCAACATGGTGCAGGCTACGGCATTGATTTGAACAAAACGTATGGTGGTATGCAAAGATCACAAAACCGCAGCACTAGCACATCCCTGACATGTCTCTCTGCACATTTCCTGCACTCATGTTACGACACTGACTGCGTTCCAACATAGGCAAACCGCACTAAAGTCACGAAACCGAAAGGTCTACGCATTCCAACATAGGCGAACCGCACTCATGTCACAAAACTGCAGAGTCAGAGTCTATGGATTGTTGTCGTCGTTGTCATCAAATGATTTGATTAGACGACTGCGGACAAGAAGAGTTACAGAGACAGGTCCGAAGAAGTGACGTTGAAAGTGCATGACAATATGCACTCACTTACCCAGATCGCCACCAGACCACCAGAGACCAAAGCGTATTCCGCGGACGTCCCTTGCACATCACTTGCATATCCCCTGCACATCACGTGCACGCCCCTTGCTCGAAACACCGGTTGACATACAAATGCCAGCGTCTGAAAGCGGAAAGTCTACGAAACCGCAGAGTCTACGCATGCCAACATAGGCGAACCACATTCATGTCAGAGAGTCTATGCATTCCAATACAAGCAACCCGCACTCATGTCACAAAACTGCGGAGTCTACGCATTCCAACATAGGCGAACCGCACTCATGTCACGAAACTGAAGTCTACGCATTCCAACATAGGCAAACCGCACTCGTGTCACGCGTCAGCTAGATGCACATGCCACTGGCGAACCGCACTAAAGTCACGAAACCGAAAGGTCTACGCGCACCCCGACAGCGCAGTCTCAGCACACACACACACACACACACTTGACACAATGTGTCACAGGTCTCAAGTCAGCTCGAGAAGCCAGCTTGATAAGTCAGCTCAGAGATTTCAAGTTCTAGATTACGGAACTCCAGGCGCATCGTAAGAAAGATAACTGAAAGCATACAAACCGTCACTCTAGGTTACGGGTCTCCAGGCTCATTGCAAAACAGATGACTGAAAGCGCGCAAGCTGTCACTCTAGGTTACAGGTCTCCAGGCCCATGGCAAGACAGATGACTGAAAGCGCTTGCAAGATCACCCCTGAAGTCATGCAGATTGCTGCAACTGCAGAGGCAGGAGCTACATCTGCTGTTCCCGATCCAACATTGCATACAGAAGAAATCGGTAAAGATGACGAAGATGGCATCGAGCAAACTGCAGGAGTGGGGGGTGGAGGAGGGAAAGCGGGAGGGGGAAGGGGAGGGGGGGTGGAATCCACTTCGCAACTACCAAAAGTACAGCTCATGTACTCAACTTGCAGCCGAAGACTGGAACATAGCCAGCAAAGCTGAACAGGTGCAAGCGCTCATGTGTTGCTGTTGAAGCAGGCAATCAGTAATACTGACGACACTGCAGAGTCTATGCATTCCAACACAGGTGGACCACACTCATGCCAGAGAATCTACGTATTCCAACATAGGCAAACCGCACTAAAGTCGCGAAACCGAAAGGTCTACGCATTCCAACATAGGCGAACCGCACTCATGTCACGAAACTGAAGTTTACGCATTCCAACATGGGCGAACCGCACTCATGTCACGACACTGACTGCACATAGCTGCATGTCACTGACTCGTCCACCGCACATGCCCTGGAACATGTCACAGACTCATTCACGGCACATGCTCTTCAGAAACACTCTCTAAAATACTGAAGCCAGACAACAGGCCCTCGCCCCTGCTCGTTCGATTCAGATTTGCCTACCCGTTGAAACAGGGTTGGACACACACAAGCCCTGCCGGGCACATTGTAGCCGCACTTGCATGACAATACGCACTCGCTTACAACGATAGCGTTCCTCAGCGACATGAACATAGCACACTTGAAGAACGCGCCTGCGATGCAGTAAGGCAGGGAGATGCTTAGCAAGTCAGGTTCGGCAACCATGCAACGACACAACAGCGGGGCAGGCCGGTACAGGAGCAGGGTCCCTGCTCCATGCGGCCAGCTCGTGCACAGCAGTTGCACTTGGACTTCATCTCAGACACTTGCTAAGCAAAGCTGAACAGGTGCAAGCCCTCATGTGTTGCTGTGGAGGCATTGCAGGTAATCAGTAATACTGACGACACTGCAGAGTCTATGCATTGCAACAAAGGCGAACCACACTCATGCCAGAGAATCTACGCATTCCAACAAAGGCAAACCGCACTAAAGTCACGAAACCGAAAGGTCTACGCATTCCAACATAGGCGAACCGCACTCATGTCACGAAACTGAAGTTTACGCATTCCAACATGGACGAACCGCACTCATGTCACGACACTGACTGCGTTCCAACATAGGCGAACCGCCTAAAGTCACGAAACCGAAAGGTCTACGCATTCCAACATAGGCGAACCGCACTCATGTCACAAAACTGCAGAGACAGAGTCTATGGATTGTTGTCGTCGTTGTCATCAAATGATTTGATTAGACGACTGCGAACAAGAAGAGTTACAGAGACAGGCTCGGAGAAGTGACGTTGAAAGTGCATGACAATATGCACTCACTTACCCAGATCGCCACCAGACCACCAGAGACCAAAGCGTATTCCGCGGACGTCCCTTGCACATCACTTGCATATCCCCTGCACATCACGTGCACGTCCCTTGCTCGAAACACCGGTTGATATACAAATGCCAGCGTCTGAAAGCGGAAAGTCTACGAAACCGCAGAGTCTACGCATGCCAACATAGGCGAACCACATTCATGTCAGAGAGTCTATGCATTCCAATACAAGCAACCCGCACTCATGTCACAAAACTGCGGAGTCTACGCATTCCAACATAGGCGAACCGCACTCATGTCACGAAACTGAAGTCTACGCATTCCAACATAGGCAAACCGCACTCGTGTCACGCGTCAGCTAGATGCACATGCCACTGGCGTTCCAACATAGGCGAACTGCACTAAGGTCACGAAACCGAAAGGTCTACGCGCACCCCGACAGCGCAGTCTCAACACACACACACACACACACACTTGACACAATGTGTCACAGGTCTCAAGTCAGCTCGAGAAGCGAGCTTGATAAGTCAGCTCAGAGATTTCAAGTTCTAGGTTACGGAACTCCAGGCGCATCGCAAGACAGATGACTGAAAGCATACAAACCGTCACTCTAGGTTACGGGTCTCCAGGCTCATTGCAAAACAGATGACTGAAAGCGCGCAAACTGTCACTCTAGGTTACAGGTCTCCAGGCCCATTGCAAGACAGATGGCTGAAAGCGCTTGCAAGATCACCCCTGAAGTCATGCAGATTGCTGCAACTGCAGAAGCAGGAGCTACATCTGCTGTTTCCGGTCCAACATTGTATACAGAAGAGATCTGCAAAGATGACGAAGATGGCATCGCGCAAGCAGCAGGAGTGGGGGGTGGGGGAGGGAAAGCGGGAGGGGGAAGGGGAGGGGGGGGGTGGGATCCACTTCGCTGTGGTGCCACGAGAGGGGGTCCGGGCAGCAGTGGGGAGAGGTGGGGTGAAACCATAAACCTCTAAAGGGGTAGCTCTAACAGGTACCTACAGCAATGGCTGCATGCTCATACATATACATTCCGCTGCCCATTGGCTCACAGTGGTTTTACCATATTGAGACAAGACAAGCTCTCCTTGCGTAGCAAGACAAAACAACTACTGTCCGTGTGCAGGGCGCTGCCCTTTGATCCTTAGGGAATAACTGGTCATACACCTCCTCACAAGGAGTATCCCTTGGGGGTGTATCGGCACAGTTTTCTGGTAGCGGAGCCCGGAAAGGGCCGCCCGCCTCAC